CCCGCGTTGCTCACGGGGTGCGTGGTCATGTCGAAGAGCAGGAAGTTCTGCTTGGCCGTGCGCAGGATGCCCTTCTCCACCAGGCCCTTGGCCACGCGCTCCCGCACGTTGCGCAGCTGGTACTGCAGCTTGAAGGGGTTCCAGGTCTCCCCTGCGGAAACGGCGCCGGCGTGAGGCCGGGCTCGCGAGCCGCTCTCATTCCAACTCCCTGTTCCCAGTCCAGGATGATCCATGGATGCAAAGCCCGGCCCGCAGAAACCCTTTTTCAGTCACACTCCGACCTGCTCTTCCCGTAACTCCAGCCCCATCCGTTCCCATCGGCAAAGCTCCCAGGAGATGGAAGGTGCAGCAACCTGAGGCGGATCCCTTTGGAAAATCCCTCCTACCCAGACCCTCCGAGCCCGAGACCCATCAAAAACCCAGTGCCCAAAACGGAATGGGGCAGAGCAAGGTCAGAGCTGCTCGGAATTCCCAGCAAATCAGACCCGGACGTCCCTACCCGTGAGCAGCTCGATCCAGGTCTGCACCGTCTCGGCAGACTCCGTAGCCTTGATGTGCCGCAGGGTCTCATCCAGCAGGACATCCCCCGTCGGAGCGTCCGACTTCAGGAGCACCTGGAAGGACACACGGGATCGCGGCCTCGTGGAGGAGCCTCCCGAGCCCCGTTCCCGCCCGTCCCGCTGAAACGGGAGCCGGGAGCGACCCCGGCGGCCCCGTGGGGCCTTCACCTTCCGGTCCAGCAGCCTCTTCTTCCTCAGGGTGAGCGGCTCCAGCTGGATGCGGCCGCGCAGCGCCAGCTCGATGAGGATGCCGCCCCGCAGCCCCGAGGAGATGCAGTCGTTCCAGAAGGACGTGTAGCCCTGGGACGGGGAGGGAACGCGGATCAGGGCACGCGGGCGAGTGGGAGGGCCCCTTCCACAGCCCTCCCGGCCTCCTGCACGGATCTGGGGCCTCCTCCCGCGGCCCGGACCGCGGCATCAAGGAGCACGGAGGGTTTTTCCCACAGGCTTCCTGCTGCTTCCAGGCTCCCACATCACTGAAAACAGGATCGTGAAGAAGTCAAGTGGGTTGGAGCAAGAAGGAGGAAAACGGGATCTGTCCCACCTGCCCCCTGCAGAGCCGGGGTCCTGCACAGGATTCGGGCTGGAAAAGCCAGGAAAGGGACAGCGGAGCCTGGGCACAGCGGCTGCGCTGGCAGGAGGACCCTCTCGCTGGACACGAGAGCGAATCCAGCCCGTGTCTCCCAGGAGCTGATCCCGACTGGAGCGAAGGGGGAGCCGGGGCCCTCGCTCCAGGTCCCGTCTCCCACCGTGATCCTCTCCCAGGAACGGGGCTGATCCTTCTTGTAGGAACAGGGAAGATGAGAGAAAGGGCGGATTGAAAAGGTCCCGGGAGATTAAAGACTGTTCCTGCCTCTGCCGAGGAAACAGGGCCGGGAACACGCAGTCCCCAGCGGGGGTTTTACAGCCCGCGTGTCCCGGAGCGGCTGTTTGCACAGAGCGACCGGCACCGGGCGGCCCGGCCTGGGGACACCCGGAGCCCTCAGAGCCTGTTTGCTCTGGGCACTTCCTTGTGGAGGGGGACAAAGGAGCCTTCATCCCGGCCCTGCTCCATGTGCGTGACCTCCGCAAGGAAGTTCTCCAGGAAAAGGACTTGGGGATTATGGGAGGGATTTGCTACTTTGCAATCCAAAGGGTTGAACCAGGGTCCTGCTCCGCCGTCCCACTGGAGAGATCGGCACCTGGAGCAATGGAATCACAGTGAAGTTTCCCTGGCTCTTCCAGCCAGGCTCACACACGGATGACGGAGCTGGGAAAGGCTGATACCCGGGTCCCTGCAGCTGCTGCTGCTTTTACAGCTTTCTGAGGTGGAGGAATGTGGAAGGACGGCTAAAAAATAATAAAAGTGGAAAGTTTTTGGATCTGTTTTTCTCTCCTGCTTTCCAGGTTTTTGGAGAACTGCTCCCAGGTGTTTTTAAGGAATGCTTTCTGGAAGGAAGGAGAGGAGGTAGCAAAGAGCCGCAGGCTGGAGGGGGAGGATGTGCCCAGCGGAGCGGGGCCGTTTCTGCCGTCACTCGGCGCCTGCCGCGGGGCCAAACATTAACTTTGTCCCAGCGCCTCACGGGGCTCCGGC